CAGCCCGTTTCCGCCACTGAATAAAAAAAAGGTTATTGCAATTTTTTATCTCATAATTCAGACTTTTTTCACAGAATTGTAAGATATAAACTCGCAATTGTGAGTTAGAATTCTGACTTTTTAACTCGCAATTGCGAGTTTATATCATGCAATTCTGCAAGATAAAAAGTAGCAATTACCTTTTTTATTTTTTATTCAGTGGCGGAAATGGGCTTCCATAGTTTTACGATAGAAATGTTCAACAACTGACAAAAATAATCAGGAGTGCAAACTAACAAACTTGTCTAATTTCGCCATTTTGAATGGTTGTGATTCATGTAATGTGATTCGTAACTGTCCATGTGAGGGGACAAGAAACAATATTAACGAAGCCGTTTTCATCATATATTAGGCATATGATCAGGGTCGGATTTTACCTCTTTTCGTGACATAGGCAAAACAAATTTTTGGGCCCCCCTTCCCTATTAATATGTTAGGCCTAATATTACAACCCAAGCAAACAAAAATGTGTCTTAATCAGTGGAAACCGTTACAGTGTTTTCTCTCACAATAAGCACTTGCGTTCAGTCAATAAAAATCGAATGTAGTTCTTAATTTGTTTGAGAACTGAGAAAGACCATTCCATTAATAGGCGCGGCGACGTGGCCACATAATCACTTCGGGAGTGCATTTCTCTAATAATTTTAACGGCCTGGATTCCCAACCACACATCAAGACTGTTCAGATGATTGTTTCAAGACATTTGACATGTTTCCGTCCTGAAATCTCGTGTGTTTAACAAATTATTTACGCACTTCATCCCAAACCTTTCATTGCAAATTTCAAAATGTCATTTTAGAGCTAATAACGGAGGCTTGAGCCATTGATATGCAGGCTTATGCAGTTATTAATGCAGTCTAATGCGGTTATTAGAGAGAGGGAGAGAGAGAGATTAAGTGCGTGTGAATACCTGCATCTCTCAGCAGCGTTCAGCAGCAGTGTCTACTAACAGCGAATCTTTAAGTTAAACTGCTTCAAGAACCTCGCAACTGAGAAATGTCATGTAGCTTTTCAGCTGCGAAACTATTTTATTGATAATTTCGCGGGGCAGCGCTGACAAGAAGTTTCTGTACGCGTCTCTGCATGTGTGCACGAGTGCGTGTCTGTACTTTGTGTGCATCTGTGAGAGAGAACGGGAGAAAGAAAGCGTGATTT